CTCCCCGTAATGACAAGCTATAACACGCCTCCAAAGCTTGAACCTTTCTCTCCCGAACCTCCACAACCACTTGCCCAACAATGCCTTATTAAACACATCTAGCCTTCGAATCCCCAAACCCCCTTTATTAATTGGAGAGCACACCCTCTCCCAGTTAACCAAGTGGTACTTGAACTCACCTCCTACACCCCCCACAGAAACTTCCTTTGAATATTATCAAGTCTTCGAACAACTGTCTTAGGCATCGGAAATAGCGACATATAGTAGGTCGGAAGATTTGAAGTGTGCTTTTCATAAGTGTAACCCTCCCCCCTTTGGACAAGTATTGCTTTTCCAACCTGCAAGCCTCTTCCCAAACCGCTCAACAATCGGATCCCACACAGAAACTCTCCTTGATGAGGCTCCCAAAGGGAGTCCCAAGTAGGAGATCGGAAAAGAGCCATCACCACACCCCAGAGTATGCCAAGGCATGAATATCATCCACCTCTCCAACTGGTACAATCTCGCTTTTCACAGTGTTAATCTTCAACCCTGAAACAACTTGGAAGCAGGCCAGTACGCACCGTAAATACCTCAACTGAAGGTGGATAGCATCACAAAAGACAATGGTGTCATTCACAAAAAGCAGGTGGGAGATGACCAACTGATTTGGAGCTTTGCCCACCGAGAATCCATGAATGAACCCAAGATCACCCGCCCTCCCCATCAGATGGCTAAAGGCCTCCATGACGATAATAAATAAGAATGGGGAAAGAGGGTCCCCCTGCCTCAATCCAAGAGAACTAGCAAAAAAACCAGCTGGGGATCCATTCACTAAAACAGAGAATCGAGCAGTCGAAATACAGAAAAAAATCCACGACCTCCACTTTTGCACAAAGCCCATTCTCTTCCTTAGGTACATCAAAAAATTCCAGCAAATATGATCATAAGCCTTTTCGATATCCAGCTTGCAAACAACCCCCGGAATACCACTTCTCTCCCTAGCCTCAATGCATTCACTAGCAATCAAAATTGAATCCAGAATTTGACGCCCTCCACCAAATGCATTCTGGGAGTTTGAAATCACCCCTTTGAGAACTCTCCACAACTGAAGACTTTTGCAATAATTTTATACACCACCCCAACTACACTAAGTCCTTTGCCTCACATGCTCCACCCTCTTTGGGAATAAGAGTGATGAAGGAAGCGTTGAGGCTCTTCTCAAAAGAACCATGCAGAAAAAAAGAATCCAATGCCCCCATCACCTCAGCCTTCACCACCTCCTAATTCTGATGAAAGAAAGCTAAAGTAAACCCCTCTGGCCCTAGAGCTTTATCCCCATCACAACTTCTTAGAGCCGCCAACTCCTCATCTTCCCCAAACGGCATTTCAAGCCCGTCTCTATCGCCTTCCGAGATTGTTGCAAACTCAAGCTCATTTGAAAAGTTGTTCATTTGAACTAGACTTGGTTTATAGCGTGCCCCTGTAAAGAGGTGATGATATGCTGTGTTTACATTTTTCTGAAGGAAAGAGGCATTGAAGGTTACAATGACAGAGAGGGCTCTTTCTGCAGTGAGGTCCTATTTTCATATAGAGTAAATTAAATAGAGGAGTCCTCTCCTTCTGAATACTTCTAAGGACTAATCCATGTGAGGGAGCCTTTAGTTTCTGGGAGACATTGATTCGCAAAAGATGGAATTTTGCCAGCGGTGGGATTCATGGGCGTAATAGGAAACTATGATTTGTAGTCTCTGCCTATTTTTACATGTCAATTACCTTACTTCTGTTTTTGCTTCATGTTCTTTTTAAATATTGGAGATTATAGCAGAATAGGTGGTTTATTTTTGCAGTATTTCAATTAAGCTCAACATTTCTGGAAGGGGAATTGTAGCAACATGCTAGATTGTTTGTCAGGAACCTTTTATTATGACCCCCATAGTAATTATTCAATTAATTTGTCAGTTCCATTGAACAAGATTATGTGCCATGTAGACCACTTTCTTGTGTATTTCTGGTATTCTCCATCCCTTAGAATGAATACTGTTGTTATAGGTGGAATATGAAGCATCCGGAGTGAGCTTTTGGTAGAAATAGCTAGGGGCACTTCCATACAGGATCTTCATGCAAGGTTAACAAATAACATCAGAAACCCTCCCTCACCAACACCCTCACCCCCCCCCCCCCCCTTTTCTTCTCTCTCTCTCTCGTGTTTTCAAAAACAAACTCATGAGATGTTGGATAACAATTAGGAAGTACGAAAAATCGAGAGCCCACTTAGTGACACTGACAGTGCTCCCTTGGCTGTTTTTCTTTGGTAGAACACTTCCATTGATTTTAAAAATAGTGGTTAATAAACTGGTAGATGAGATTATTTTCACTTACTACATAGAAACCCAAGTAAACTTTATGCAGCATTAGGCTAATTTTTCAATTCCATTTACTGACTTTCACCTCTATGTTGGGGCCTTTTCTTGGTTCACTTCTCCAAAAAAAGGTCAAGTGTATAGTACAACTAGTGGTGCACACGGTTCGGTACCATCCCTGGGCTAAATGAGAACCAAACTTATCCCAACAGTTCCTAGAAAATTAGAACCAGAACCAGAAGCGGACCATAGCAACTGTAAAATCAAACAGAACCATAAGAGATCAGTTTGGTCCAGTTATATCCACAGTTCTGGACTTTAGTAGTAGGAACCTGTGCCACCATTGTAACATGTGATTCCATACCTCTCAGAGATTTTGTCAATTCATCTCCTACTTTCACTTCTTTTTCAGCAAGCGTGAGATTGAGACTCAAATGATGTAAAATAGTGGCAAAATCTCTGTTGGGTGCATGTATTAAAAAACTATGAACAAACTTAATAAATGTGAAGAAATTATATGATTAAGCAAAAAGCCACAACATCATATATATATATATATATCATTAACAGTTCAATCCTAATGGACATTGGACCCCAAACCAGAACTGAATTGTGAGTTAGCGGTTCTCTGTTTTTGGAATTGGACCAGTCCAAATCATAACAAAACTAGATTGAACCATACGGTCTGGTTCGGTTCGGATCGATTCACCGGTTCCACTGATTTTTTGTGCACCCCTAATTACAACAAGTGATGCGAGCAGATGTATAATCAAATAATTTGGGGTCTAATTATATTAAGATGAAGTTGCCAACTAAGGGAGCAGGCTTGCCAGGTTATAAAAGAGATGTATGAAATGCATTTGTCTAGGTGAAATAAGAATGCTTAGCTAGATGAGAAGTATGAAATGCATTTGTGTAGGTGAAATAAGAATGCTTAGCTAGATGAGAAGTATGAAACACATTTGTGAGGCAGAAATAAGAATGCTTAAATAGATGATACGAGTAATTAGAAGTAATATGGTAAATGATTAACGTGTGACATAATCAAGAGTTACACTTGTTGCTAATAAATTATAAGGAAGGCCAACTTAAGTGGTCTAGACATGTATAATTTAGACCCGTGGATACACTTGTTAAGAAATATAAGATTAGTTTTAAGAAAAATAGGACAACCAATATGGGATAGAATAAAGATGCATGACATCAATGATTTAATATATAATATATAATAATCTATATATGGGTAAATAAAAAGGTGCAGGTTGTATTCTTTTACTTAGTGAGCAAGGTGACATGTGAGAGTGTCATTATGAAAGTGAGTGCAAGTTGCATTTACTTAGTGAGTAAGGAGGTTGCAAGTTGCATTCTTTACTTAGTGAGCAAGGAGGTGACATGTGAGGGCATCATTATAGTTAGTGCAACTTGCATTGTTTTACTTAGAGAGTAAGGTGACGTGAGAAAGTGGGGTCCACGCCATTATGAAAGTGAATGAAAGTTACATTCCTTTCCTCAGTGAAGAAGTTCAGATTAGGCCATAAATAAGGCTCACCTTTGTATTGTTGAGGCAGCTTGAATGAAATTAACAATATATCAGTTTTATAATCTGTTTGAGCTTGAGCTTGGTGTGAGATATATATCTCTTTTCCTGCTTCCGTTACGTGAGGCGGTATCAGAGCCTTGATTTACCCTGGTTTGATGTTGAATGATTGTTTCGGCAGCAACCGCTTTGCCGACGAAGATTGCAAAGGCAGTCATGCATACTTAAGAAAAACAGTTTAGACAAATAGCTAGTCTTGGGATTTGTGGCAACCAGGTTCGTGATCCTGTTCGGGTTCGTGCTAGAGATTTTTCTCGCGGTCAACTGAACATTGGTGTAAATCCACGGAGGCCTCCAGCCTATGCGAATTATTCCGATAATGAGGAGTTAGGAAGATTCGGGATGGATTGGTGTGACCGAGCTAGGCCAGACAAAAACTATCTGAACACTCATGATTGTTACATGAAGATTGATCTTCCCAGTTTCAGTAGATATCTTCATATTGAGGATTTTTCAGACTGGCTGAACGATGTTGAGCGTTTTTTCGAGTATATGGAGAAGACAAGTAGGTTAAGCTTGGACAATGCAAGCTTCAAGGAGGTGCTACATCCTGGTGGCCCGCTGGGAACAAAGTCAAAGACACCGGAGATGGCTCAGAAAGCAACCTGCCCGAATGTGGCACAAGATGAAGAAATTATTGATGGCCAGATTTCTCCCACAAGAGTATGAAGAGATCTCGCACCACCAATATCAAAATTGCATGCAAAGGTACTTACACCTATTAACCACTATATTGATGAGTACTACTGCTTGAATGAATGCAATAATCTCTTAAAAGTCGGTAAACCAACATATAGAGAGATATATTGGAAGATTGCGAGTGGTAGAACATGATTAAATTCAGAATCCAACTGAAGAAGAACTGCCCAAAGCTTCTAAAGTGGAGGGGCATTGTTTTCTTGCTGGAGATGAGGCATAGTTTGAAGAGGGAGTAAATGAATCCGATGATATGACAATCATTGTTAAGAGCAAAGAGTCACCTCGTTTTGGATCCAGTGCAACCTTTATGAGCTGAATAACAGTAGTTGATCTCAGACGAGTTACCAGTTGGTTTATCACCCATGCGAGAAATTCAACATCACAAAGATTTGGTTCTTGGCATGAGTTTACCAAACCTGCAACAATACTGCATGAACCCAGTCGAGAATGAAGTGTTGCAGAGGCAAGTTGAAGAGTTGGTTCCTATACCGTGTTTTGATGATAAGATTGATATGGTGGTTGCCTCAAAATTCTTTTCGAATATTAACTTGATTTATTATCATCAAATCCGTGATGATTATGGAGACAAGTGTGCTTTCAAGACGAAAGAGGGACATGCCTATGCATTCGACCTTCCTGAGGGCATGGTCCTTTCTCCTACCTTCTGCTGATTTAGTCTAGTGTCACCTGCCTAGTGAACAGCTTTATTTTCAGCTTCACTTGAGGATGAGTTTTTCTAAAGTGGAGGAGTCTGATGCAGGGCATCCATGATTTGATATATAATATATATAATAATCTCTATATGGGTAAATAAAAATGTGCAAGCTGTATTCTTTTACTTAGTGAGCAAGCTGACACGTGAGAGTGTCATTATGAAAGTGAGTGCTAGTTGCATTTACTTTGTGAGGAAGGAGGTTGCAAGTTGTATTCTTTACTTAGTGAGCAAGGAAGTGACACGTGAGGGCATCATTATAGTAAGTGCAACTTGCATTGTTTTACTTAGTGAGTAAGGTGACATGTGAGAAAGTGGGGTCCACGTCATTATGAAAGTGAATGCAAGTTGCATTCCTTTCCTTAGTGAGCAAGTTCAGATTAGGCTATAAATAAGGCTCACCTTTGTATTGTTGAGGCAGCTTGAATGAAATTAACAATATATAAGTTTTATAAACTGTTTGAGCTTATGCTCGATGTGAGATAATTAGACACCATTCAAAAATTAAATATAATGGGAGAAAAGAATTTCAATAGTAAAGAATGAAATAAGAGAATAGATATGCTCGATTCCATTTATATGGGATAAAGAGAAGGATAATGATCACAAAGGCGTACACGGGTAGGCAAAGGTGGGCTGTAGCCCACCCCAAAAAAAAAAAATTTTTTTTTTTTTTACTATACTAATGTTAGCCCAGCCCAAAAAAAAGAAAAAAATTAATAGTATTAGCCTACCCCAAAATTTAGCCCACTCAATGAAGCCCAAGTCAACTCGGCCACCATACTAAAATAAAGGCCCCAACCCAGCATGCAAAATGTAATGTGGTGAAACCAAATGAATAAAACTTTAATATATCATTGAATTCAAATATTTATCTATATTATGTTATTTTTATTTATTTTATTTTGCTTAAGAAATTTTGTTATTAAATTTATGTTTAATATTAGCCCACCCCAACGAGAAATCCTGAATCCGCCCTTGAATGATCATGATTCCAAACTTATAAAAAAAAGATGATGATCCCGACTTGATCAATGTGATTATTTGGATTGAATAAGATTGCCCTTTGCTTCGTTCTTCATATAGCATATATATATATATATATATATATATATATATTCCTATTGTTGTTGAAGACTTTTGGTTTACCTTTAAATTTGGTTTGAACTTGAATTTGGATCTTCTGTAGGAGTTCAAATTTAAATGAAAATTACTTCTTCATCTGTCATATCAAATTTGGCTGACTGAATTTTTGTATTGTTAGCCGCAAATGATGATGAGGAATACTTGTGACAGCCGGCGATGGTTTACGAGTCGTACTGATTCAGTTAGTGATGCAGCCAATGTTGAGAGTAATGCCTTTTCTACTAATGCAGCTGGTAATGCCTTTTCTACTAATGTATCTGGTAATGCAATCCACGGTGAAGGCCCAGGTAAGTGTGTTTATGGTGCATGTGCCCTCATTTTTCACTTCTTTTCATTCGAATGATAATTTTAGTATAAGTTACATGATTTAAAAGCTCTATTTATACCTTACGAGTTTAGAGCCTGATGCAGCTGTATATTTTCATTGTTTTAACCTGTACTTATGAGCTTAGAACCTGATGCAGTTGTATGTTTTCATTGTTTTAACCTGTACTACTCTGTTCATTTGCATTATCCTCATAATATGTTGCACAATTTTTTATTTTTTATTATTTGTCATTTGAGAAAAATCCAATTTTGAATTTGGGTGGGAGCATCCTATAGATTGGCATCTCATATTAAAAGAGATAAAAATAAAGAAAAAGAAAAAGAAAAAGAAAAAGTAAAAAATGGAGGGAGGAAATATGTAAATCTTATCTCTAGGTATCCTAGTGGGTTTCAGATGAATACATAAAACATAAATACCTAAGAGGCACGGAAACGGTTACGGGACACGGATTCGAAAAGACACGGTTACGGCAAATTATAAAAAATTAGGACACGGACACTACAAATAATAAATACAATATGTACTTCAAGAAATTAAGAGTAGTATAATTTTTTTATCAGTCTAATAATGAAAAAAAAAAAATTGTGTTTTGCTGGGAAAAGAATGAATGATAGAAAGAAGAAAGAGAAAAACAAAGAAATAAAGAGGATAGGGGTTTTGTTAAAAACAGAATTAGGGCTTAGTGAGAATTCATAGAAGAGAAAAAGTTCATGGAAAGAAGAGGAAAAAGGAAAAAGAGATGCAAAAAGAATTTTGTTGTGAAAGGAAAGAGTGAAGTATCTAGGGTTTGTGTTGAATAAGAAGAAAGAAAGAATAGGTGGAGAATCGGTGGATCATCTTCTTTTGCACTGCCTAGTGGATTTTGACTGTTGGTATCTTTTGTTAGGCATGTTTCGGGTTTCGTGGGTGATGCCTAGATCTGCGAGAGGACTGAAGGAGGCTTGGAGTGGATGCTTTGCGGGAGGTCATGCTCGTGGGTTTTGGAGGATGGCGCCGTTATGCTTTATGTTGGTGTCTGTGGAGGGAGTAGAAAAATAGATCCTTTGAAGGAGAGGAATCCTCGATTGTTGTTCTTAAGTCAACTTTTATTACATCTTTATGCGTTTGGGGTTTGGGTAGGCATTATTCCTCTTCGGAGGAGATAACTGACTTTATTTCTTCCTTGGGTCCATAGGATCCTTTTGTTGTTTATGGGACACGTTCCCCTTTTGAATGCCTTTTATTGAATTTGCTTAATTATCAAAAAAAAAAAAAAAAAAAGAAGAAAGAAAGAATAGAGGAGGAGAAAGAAGAAGAGAGAAAATAGGAGAGAGAGAGAGAGCATCCACTGAGAGCGAAGCTTGGTTGGTGGGAGAACAAGAGAGAGTCAAAGATGATTGAACAAGAGTTTCAACCTTTGAACTAAAATATAAGCATATATATTTGATTGTTTAATATAACACTTTTTTATAAAACAACTTTTAAGTATTATTATTATTTTTTTAATAAGTAAAAATGGTATAAAAAGCACTCAAAAGGGGAGGGCATCCCAAGAGAACCACACAAGGCCAAATAGGGCCTCTACACTCTCAAAGAGTCCAAAAAATCAACAATCTTCTTTAAGGATCTATAATTTCTCCCTACGACCTAACAAAAAAGAGTAGTAATAATGGAGAACTTAAGTGCAGAGATAGTAGTCACTTTTCCTTCAAAAGATCTCCTATTTCTTTCAATCCACAGACACCACCAAACGCACAAAGGCGAAACCCTCCAAACATCCCAGGCTTGGGCCCCACTGTAAAACCTCTCTAAGCCTCACTTAACCCTCTGGTAGTGTTGGGCATAACCCACTGAACCCCAAACAAACCTAGCATCAAGTCCCAACAATCCCTAGCCATATGGCAGTGCAAAAGAAGGTGGTCCACCGTCTCCTCATTTCTAAGACACATGCAACAAAAATTGACCACAACTTCTTGTTTTCTCTTCAAATTATCTTGGGTCAATATCTTCCCTAGAACAGAGGTCCATGCAATGAAAGCCACCTTTAAAGGGGCTTTTGAGCTCCAAATAGCCTTCCATGGAAAAGGAACCCCTGTCCCCTCATGAGACATCTATAGAAGGACCGAACATCAAAGCGGCCCTGAGTAACACGATCCCACACCCAATCATCAGAAACGCCGCCCCCAATCTCTTGATGATACAATAGCTCCAGAAAACCAACGACATCCTCAATCTCTCAGTCTTGGAAGTGCCTCGTGAAACGAACATCCTAAAACGATCTCCCACTATCAAGGCAATAGCAGTCAACCACCATGGCATGCCTATCCATGGCAATCCTAAAGAGCCAAGAAAAAGTAAGATCAAGAGAACGATCAGTGCACCAAACATCCTCCCCAAAACGAATTCTCCTACCATCCCTGAGTCGAAATCTGATGTGTTCTGAAAATTCATCCCACCCCTTCCGAATGGATTTGCAAACCCCAACTCCCCCCGGAATACGCACCTCAACGGAGGTCCACCCTCCTCTCCCCTCCCCAAATCGACTCGCAATCACCCCTCCTCCATAGCTTATGCCTCTCTACCCCAAATCTCCACTACCACTTCCTGAGGAGAGCCTTATTGAATGGCACCAATCTTCTGATTCCCAAACCTTCAACCCGGATCTGGCAGCAAACCTTCTCCTAGCTAACCAGATGATATTTCAACTCCTCCCCCAAGCCCCCCCCATAGGAAATTCCTCTGCAACCTCTCAATCCTCTCAGAGGAGGGAATCTGGAAAAGTGAGAGTAAATATGTAGGGAGGCTTGAAAGAGTGCTCTTTATCAGAGTAACCCTTCCACCCTTAGAAAGATACAGCTTTTTCCAACCCGCCAACCTCCTCTCGAATCTTTCCACCACACCATAGGATCCCATCTCCCCACACTCCTCCAAGGCGAACCAAAGGGTAAACCCAAATAGGAAATAGGAAAGGAATCAATGCTGCGCCCAAGAACATCAACTAACGTAGCAATCTCAGGAACTTCCCCAACCAGCACCAAAACACTCTTCCCTCCATTCACATTCAGACCCGAGACAGCTTGGAACCAAATCAGGATAAATATCAAATATCTGAAGTGGGGCACATCTGCAACACAAAACGCTAAAGTGTCATTAGCAAACATCAAGTGAGAAATCTCGAGCTGACTATTTGTGTCCTTACCCACCTCGAAGACTCTTAGGAATCCCAAGTCAACATTCCTCCTCAACAATCTACTCAGAGCCTCCATCACAATAAGGAACAAAAAGGGAGAAAGCGGGTCCCCCTACCTCAAGCCCCTCGAACTGGGAAAGAAACCCATTGGAGCTCCATTCACGAGAACTGAGAATTGAGCACTCGAAATACATAACTCTATCCATCTCCTCCATTTCTCATCCTCTCCAACAAATAGAGAAAAAAGCTCCAACTCACGTGATCATATGCTTTCTCAATGTCCAACTTACAGAAACCACCAGGAACCCACTCACATTCTGGAGTCCACACTCTCACTAGCAATAAGGGACGAGTCTTAAATCTGACACCTCCCACTAAGGCATTTTGAGAATCGGAAATGAACCCATCCAAAACCCTCCTCAATCTGAAAGCAAGGACCTTGGCAATTAATTTGTAAATGCTTCCCACCAAACTGATAGGTCTAAAATCCTAAACCTCTAAACCTCCCCCCCCCCCCCTTCTTCGGAATGAGAGCAATAAATGTAGTATTCAGACTCCTCTCCGACACGGATTCTTTGCCCTTTTAGGCGTGCCCGTGTTTCCTAGATATATACTATTTATTCAGAGATTTGGTATGTTCAATAGTTGTTGCATAATATTACTGATTTTTTTTTCTTCATAAAAATCATTTTTACTTGGATTCTTAATTGTCTACTACCAAACCTGGACTGAGTACAGAACTCAAGTCATGGTTATGATATGGGAGCATGAAATTGAGGTTGCAGTTTACAAGTATTAATTCATTCAGTTTTGAATCAGAAGGCAATGTAAATATATATATATATATATATATTTTTTTTTACATTGATAAATAGAAGGCAATGGAAATATATATATATATTTTTGATAAATAGAAGGCAATGTAAATATTAGTTGAAGTTACATTTTTTATCCATTATTGAAGTGCTAATGCTTTATTTATTTACTCTTTCCGTCCCAAAAAAAAAGTGTCCATCTTTCCATTTTGGGTTGTCCCAAAGTAATTGTCCACCATTCCTTTTTGGGTTGTCCCAAAGGAATTGTCTACTTTCCTTTTTCAAACAACATATTTCACATATTTCCATATATGTCCTTGGAATTTAAAATTTCAAACTTGAATATTAAAAAAAAGGGCAAGTTAGTAATTTTCCAGGGGGACAATGCATGTCCCACATGTCCCCTTAAAAATTACTACTCCCCAAAAAAGACATTTATATTGGGACGGAGGGAGTATTATTTATAAGTAACATATCATAAAATAGCGCCTAAACAGGGAGCATAACCCAAATAGAAAGCTCACAGCCAAAACAATATGCTATATCCTCAAACTATCCCTAAAATTATCGTATCTTCTACAAATTTACAATTTCAACCGTTTACCATAACAACTAACAAAAATAAGAATTTAGAAAGAATAGAGAATTTGAGTGCCCAAGTAGGAGTCTCCTTCCCATCAAGAGATCTCCTATTACTCTCTCTACCAAATACCTGACCACGAGCAAAGAGGAGCAATTTTCCAAGCATCTCGAACTTGCTTCCATTGTACTTTCTCTTCAAGCTGTAAGCATGCTGTTTGTAGAATGAGGCATGTCCAAAGAAACACCAAAGCAGGCAAGAATAAAGCCCTATCCGTCCCTAGTCACTGGGCAATGCAAGAGTAGATTGTTCACCGACTTCTCATCCATCTTACACATACAACACGAGTTGACGATCAGCTATGCTGACTCTGCCTTCTCTTGAGGTTTATCAAT